CCCCCAAAACCCCAAAACCCCAAAAGGATAATTTTGAGAAAATTAGAAATTATTTAATTGCTAAAATTGAATATCAAAAGCAAATCAATAATTTAAAAATATTTTCTTATGTCTATTTGGAGTTGATTTGTCATTTAAAGTAGTCTAATTATACTCTTTATGTTATTTTCTTTCTTAGTAATGGTAAATATTTTAATTGTTCGCTAATACTATCAAATGTCTATCCAGAGATTATTTCCTAATTCTTTTTATGTTTTTATTGCATTATACATTTTACTTTTTATAATGGGACTAACGATATTTCCTAATCTTTTTAAATACATTTTTTTGTCTTTTTCCCACTATATCTTTGCTTTTTAGTTTAAATTTACTAATTAAAGCCTTAGTCTTTTAGAAAATCTAGATCTGGCATACAATTAAGATCATCAATTGTTATATTATTTGATATATTACTCCAACTCATTAAATCTTAAGTAGCTGCTACTTAAATAGAGTTATTTTATGCTGAAACATTTAAGTTGTTTTATTGTTTTACACTGCCATTGTAAATGAGGGTATTTCTTTATTAAATTATCTATAATTCATTTTAACTAAAATTATTTGATTCTGCTTCTGTCTTAATTCTATTTTTATGCTATTAACTTGGACTAATACAGTATATTCCTGATTTCTTTACTTTATTATACAATCTTAAGCAAAGTCTAGATATTTATTGAAGTAGTTTCTAGACTGCAATATAATATATATTAGTGATTAAGAACAATATCGATAAAGCAATTGGTAATGTGCCTATATACATTTTCATCTCATAATTTAGTTCGTATTAATCTGAGAAGCTAATCATTGTATACAAAATTGCTAAAATAATGATCTCATTAAATGCTTCAAGGTAATTTGATTTTTTGTCATAAAATGGTTGTTTTCTAATAATATAGCATGCGTTAAAGATTGACTGAAGTATTAGAAACTATATCTGAAGTCCTTAGTAATTTCCTAGATAGACTAGAATGAAAGAATAAGAAACTCTTCTTAAATTTGTGAAACTTGTGAAGATTAAATGCTAAGATTTGATATTTTCAATCAGAGGAGAGAAATATCTTTCTAATGTGTCCATTTGTCCTTTATATACTGCATTGGTAATGATAAAAGCGAAAATTGGAAAAAAGAAGCATAGAGTTAAAAACAAAATGGATAAAATAGCTCCAGCAATATCAATGTAATCATCAAATCTCTAGAAGAGGAAATTATTTAAATTTTAATTACGTTAAAAGAATGAATTGAGGAACATATAATGAGCTCAACTAGTGACTCTATAAAAAATCTTAGAATGTAATTGTAGTATACTCTTTTGTATAAATTCTCAGCGAATATTGTTTTATTTCTATAAAAATTTAATTTAAATTATACCTCACTTAAATTTAGCATTTGCAAGCAATTTAATTATCCCACTGAGTATCATTATCAAGGCTACAAAGCAAAAGAGATAAAATATAATCCCAATATTTATTATAAAATTTGTTGATGTATATCCCATCTATTCAAAGTGCGGATTAAATACTGAATCCTTTAATATGTATGTTTCATTGTAGTTGAAGATTAATTAATTTAATTTTTCAACATCAAAGTACTGAAAGCTAGAAACATCGATAATAAAGCTATAGAATAAGGCAACATTAACTGGTATGTTGATTGACAATAATGGTAGATGAGTTATTAATTAAAAGCTATTAATCATTCCCCATAGTAGTTGGACACTCTGAGACCTATAATAGTTAAATTCATATAGCGATACATTAATATGTTGATAAATAGATTAGTACCCATAAAACTAGATACCGTAATTGAGCTTGCTGATCCAATACTATCATAAAAGTCTTTAAGACCTGATGATATCTAAGGAGGGATGTATCCCTTTATTTGGTATCCTTTATTGATCATTAATTTCTAGCTGGTGTCATAAAAGATAAAGTAATAATTAAACTTGACAATCAATGTGTCCCATTCCTAAATTTAACATTTAATTAAAATATTTACTCTGTATTTTGATATGTTTTGAATACTCTAAAATAGCATTTAAATTGTCATCACCCTGTTTGAGTATGATAGTACTATAAAGTTTTAGCTTTACTCAGATGAACTATCTGAATAATCAAGAGATATGTTTATTGATTCTTATATCTTTTGAGTAAACTTTAGCAATTCATAGAGGTTTTAATCAAATATAATGGTAACAAGCCCTGTATTAGTTATCTAAGTAATTTTAGCTTTGATCACTCCAATCCTCTAAATTTTCAGACTTTATTTATATTCTTAGTAGATATCAGTATTTTATACAATGACAGATTCGTATTAATTGGTGGTATTTTGAGAAATTGTTATAGTGAACTTAAACTTAGCTGAAAGAGGGAATGGATTGTCATCTAATAGCTTCACAATTACTTCTTATATTCCTACCACAATATATATGGCATTTATAATCATTTTCTTTTTGTCAATCTTTAAAAATAAGCCATCCATTTTAGATTGATAAGTTAACTGGCAGTTATCTCCTTAGTCATCTTTTATTTCTGGCATATCTATTTCTCTTCTCTATCCTACTTATAATTCATAAGAAGGTATTGGTGATAAGAAGTAAGGAGCAGTGTTGTTTGAAATGTATACTTTGGCATCTCCATAAATTTCTACTTCTAGATCATAGGCTAGTATCTTAGGAATTACTTCACTTATTTCCGATGTAATGTTGTATATAACTTAGTATTAGTATGTTCCTATTTCTTCAGCTTAATCAGATTTAATAGTAATATTAAACTAACCAATCTTAGCTTGGTTTATTAAACTTTCGACTGGTTGTAGCGATCCTTTTTTAATAATATTTACTGTCTAATTATAGCATACCCGATATGGTGCTAGTTCTAGTTTGGAAAATTCGATTTCTTATTATGGATCAAATATTTTCTACCTTACTTTTGGAAATACAGGCTCAGTTAAGACTTTGAATTCGTCATTGCAAGGATTTATAATATTCACAATGAAGTCATTTTAAATATAATTGAACTAGTTGATTGGATCAGAGATTTGATAGAATACAGAGAAGTTGTATAGGCCTACATATTTCTACTCTGTATGATTCAAAGTAATATTAGCTTCTAAAACACTTTGATTACTTTAGATATATGTTCTAACATTTTTCAGTAACCCTTTTTAATCATTTTTAACTAGAATTGAAACTGTGAATTTTTTATTGGTACCCCCAAAACCCCAAAACCCCAAAAGGATAATTTTGAGAAAATTAGAAATTATTTAATTGCTAAAATTGAATATCAAAAGCAAATCAATAATTTAAAAATATTTTCTTATGTCTATTTGGAGTTGATTTGTCATTTAAAGTAGTCTAATTATACTCTTTATGTTATTTTCTTTCTTAGTAATGGTAAATATTTTAATTGTTCGCTAATACTATCAAATGTCTATCCAGAGATTATTTCCTAATTCTTTTTATGTTTTTATTGCATTATACATTTTACTTTTTATAATGGGACTAACGATATTTCCTAATCTTTTTAAATACATTTTTTTGTCTTTTTCCCACTATATCTTTGCTTTTTAGTTTAAATTTACTAATTAAAGCCTTAGTCTTTTAGAAAATCTAGATCTGGCATACAATTAAGATCATCAATTGTTTTATTATTTGATATATTACTCCAACTCATTAAATCTTAAGTAGCTGCTACTTAAATAGAGTTATTTTATGCTGAAACATTTAAGTTGTTTTATTGTTTTACACTGCCATTGTAAATGAGGGTATTTCTTTATTAAATTATCTATAATTCATTTTAACTAAAATTATTTGATTCTGCTTCTGTCTTAATTCTATTTTTATGCTATTAACTTGGACTAATACAGTATATTCCTGATTTCTTTACTTTATTATACAATCTTAAGCAAAGTCTAGATATTTATTGAAGTAGTTTCTAGACTGCAATATAATATATATTAGTGATTAAGAACAATATCGATAAAGCAATTGGTAATGTGCCTATATACATTTTCATCTCATAATTTAGTTCGTATTAATCTGAGAAGCTAATCATTGTATACAAAATTGCTAAAATAATGATCTCATTAAATGCTTCAAGGTAATTTGATTTTTTGTCATAAAATGGTTGCTTTCTAATAATATAGCATGCGTTAAAGATTGACTGAAGTATTAGAAACTATATCTGAAGTCCTTAGTAATTTCCTAGATAGACTAGAATGAAAGAATAAGAAACTCTTCTTAAATTTGTGAAACTTGTGAAGATTAAATGCTAAGATTTGATATTTTCAATCAGAGGAGAGAAATATCTTTCTAATGTGTCCATTTGTCCTTTATATACTGCATTGGTAATGATAAAAGCGAAAATTGGAAAAAAGAAGCATAGAGTTAAAAACAAAATGGATAAAATAGCTCCAGCAATATCAATGTAATCATCAAATCTCTAGAAGAGGAAATTATTTAAATTTTAATTACGTTAAAAGAATGAATTGAGGAGCATATAATGAGCTCAACTAGTGACTCTATAAAAAATCTTAGAATGTAATTGTAGTATACTCTTTTGTATAAATTCTCAGCGAATATTGTTTTATTTCTATAAAAATTTAATTTAAATTATACCTCACTTAAATTTAGCATTTGCAAGCAATTTAATTATCCCACTGAGTATCATTATCAAGGCTACAAAGCAAAAGAGATAAAATATAATCCCAATATTTATTATAAAATTTGTTGATGTATATCCCATCTATTCAAAGTGCGGATTAAATACTGAATCCTTTAATATGTATGTTTCATTGTAGTTGAAGATTAATTAATTTAATTTTTCAACATCAAAGTACTGAAAGCTAGAAACATCGATAATAAAGCTATAGAATAAGGCAACATTAACTGGTATGTTAATTGACAATAATGGTAGATGAGTTATTAATTAAAAGCTATTAATCATTCCCCATAGTAGTTGGATACTCTGAGACCTATAATAGTTAAATTCATATAGCGATACATTAATATGTTGATAAATAGATTAGTACCCATAAAACTAGATACCGTAATTGAGCTTGCTGATCCAATACTATCATAAAAGTCTTTAAGACCTGATGATATCTAAGGAGGGATGTATCCCTTTATTTGGTATCCTTTATTGATCATTAATTTCTAGCTGGTGTCATAAAAGATAAAGTAATAATTAAACTTGACAATCAATGTGTCCCATTCCTAAATTTAACATTTAATTAAAATATTTACTCTGTATTTTGATATGTTTTGAATACTCTAAAATAGCATTTAAATTGTCATCACCCTGTTTGAGTATGATAGTACTATAAAGTTTTAGCTTTACTCAGATGAACTATCTGAATAATCAAGAGATATGTTTATTGATTCTTATATCTTTTGAGTAAACTTTAGCAATTCATAGAGGTTTTAATCAAATATAATGGTAACAAGCCCTGTATTAGTTATCTAAGTAATTTTAGCTTTGATCACTCCAATCCTCTAAATTTTCAGACTTTATTTATATTCTTAGTAGATATCAGTATTTTATACAATGACAGATTCGTATTAATTGGTGGTATTTTGAGAAATTGTTATAGTGAACTTAAACTTAGCAGAAAGAGGGAATGGATTGTCGTCTAATAGCTTCACAATTACTTCTTATATTCCTACCACAATATATATGGCATTTATAATCATTTTCTTTTTGTCAATCTTTAAAAATAAGCCATCCATTTTAGATTGATAAGTTAACTGGCAGTTATCTCCTTAGTCATCTTTTATTTCTGGCATATCTATTTCTCTTCTCTATCCTACTTATAATTCATAAGAAGGTATTGGTGATAAGAAGTAAGGAGCAGTGTTGTTTGAAATGTATACTTTGGCATCTCCATAAATTTCTACTTCTAGATCATAGGCTAGTATCTTAGGAATTACTTCACTTATTTCCGATGTAATGTTGTATATAACTTAGTATTAGTATGTTCCTATTTCTTCAGCTTAATCGGATTTAATACTAATATTAAGCTAACCAATCTTATCTTGGTTTATTAAACTTTCGACTGGTTGTAGCGATCCTTTTTTAATAATACTTACTGTCTGATTATAGCATACCTGATATGGTGCTAGTTCTAGTTTGGAAAATTGGATTTCTTATTATGGATCAAATATTTTCTACCTTACTTATGGAAAGACAGGCTCAGTTAAGACTTTGAATTCATCATTGCAAGGATTTGTAATATTCACACTGAAGTCATTTTAAATATAATTGAACTAGTTAATTGGATCAGAGATTTGATAGAATACAGAGAAGTTGTAGAAGCCTACATACTTCTACTCTGTATGATTCAAAGTAATATTAGCTTCTAAGACACTTTGATTACTTTAGTTATATGTTCTAACATTTTTCAGTAAGCCTTTTTAATCATTTTTAACTAGAATTGAAACTGTGAATTTTTTATTGGTAGTATATAGATCGGAGCACTCATTTTCTAGACTATAATTTGAATAAAAAACGTCACATTAAAATCCAAGACTACAAGTAATCAAAGTAGGAATTATTGAAGGAACACTTATTTACTTGATAGGCAGTTTAGATATAAAGTTTGTTTACTTGGTTAAAGCAGTTTGATTTTTCCATAGATTCACATATTCTCCAAGATCAATCATCTATATCAAATTAGGCTAGTTACTAAGAGTAGTAACTTTAGTATCTGTAGAAAATGATACATATGGTAATTCATTAATTGTATGTGAAGTATATGCATAAAAAGATCCATCAATTTCAACATGGAGGACTGCATAGACATACTCTGATTAGAATATATTTATAAAGGCTCTTCTCTTATTTGGCCACTCTTATAAATAGCCGGTATAGAAATAAAATCCCTCTTAATTGGAAAACTTCATCTGTCGCATTTAGTAAAAGTTTTAAGTTGCTGGTGCAATTTTGTTCTAAGTAAGTAATGGTTAAACTGGAAGCGTTCCTTCGAAAATAGCTTTTTCTAATCTAATAAAGTATACCATTCTTGTATCTTCATCTTCAGAAGAATACAAAATTAAGAAGTCGACTGCTGACACAAATTTAAATCCTATACATTAATAACCTCTAGTAGTAAAATCTTCATTAGCATTACGATATATTATTTTATGACTATAAACCCCAGATAGGACTTGTGTAGCCATAAATCCAAAGAAAGCTGAATTAGAATCATCATTTTAAAGGCATCTATATTTGTTGAAGCGAGAGATATATTAATTACCCATAGATTATTTTGTTTGTATATGCTTCCATCAAAGCAATATTAATTGTTTGGGTAGATGCAAATTCTTATACACTAATCACATTAATTGTGTTTGTACCTAAACTTTAATCGCTTATCATTGAAAAAAAGAATCCATATTAATTACTAGCATCAGTAGTTGTCTCTTTATAGGTTCCAAATACTGTTAAAACATTTGTGTAATACAGAGCAGATGTTGCGAAACTATTAGTCTGAGAAAATATATATTGTTTTATTATTTAATCGAGTTCTGCTGACAAAATCACAATAGTTCCTTGCTACGATTAGTGTTAAATAAGGACCACTATTTCGCCAGAAATATCTCAACTTACGAGCATATTTTTGAAGTGATTAGTAGGGATCCTTGCTGGTAATCCAGCGGAACCAAGCACAGTGCCATTTAAGTCAAATCTCTGAATGAGATAATAGCCATTTCAATGAATTTAATCTTCTACGTTTGATCTGATTGCTGCTACTATATACTTAAATTGCTAAAATAGAACTGATTCGACTTCTTATAACTAGACATTTATTGGTGCTTGAGATTCATCAGCTATATCATAGCCGTAAACCCAAATAACTCTGTTCATATTTGCATAGTTGTTAAACAATCCAATCATCATATGTTGATTGTAAAGACCCCCGAACACCAAATATTACAGAGATGAGTCATAGTCTAATACATTAATCAATGAACTTGTGGTAGTGGAATCTCCAATCTCAATAGGTAATTAATTCGCCCCAAAGCATTTTGGTATACATTATACTCTAATTAGATTAATTAAACTATTTATTCTTACCATTACTGAATTATTTATAGTAATGTGAAACTGAGTATAAAAATTGCAGCTCTTTAAATTTTCTTGTCCATTTTTAAATTATGTCGATTTATCAGTGATTTAATCTAGTAAAGATAATTTAGGATAAGTTAAGTTACTAATTTACATTTAATTATTAAATTTTTAATACATTTTATTTTTTGTCATATTTATCCATTTGTTTAATAGTTTCACACAAACAATCTTAATTCTTTCTGATGGGGTTTTGGGGTTTTGGGG